AAGGATTAGCAGTCTGGAAAGTCCACCATATAATCTGGCCAAACCTCGTCCCGACTTGCTTGGTTAAAAATCACGCGGATTATATTGCGATTTCCTCCCCACCACAGCAGATATTTGGTTTCAACGGTGTGACGTAATCGTGACGAATTACGCACAACACTAAAGCAGTTAGCAAGGCAAATTTCGCCAAGTTCAGCCTGCTATTTAAACAAAAACCCATTTTATACTACACGTACATGCATGCAGACACACTTAATTGTACGTGTAGTATGACATGTACGTGTACACACTTAAGTGTGTCTGCATGCATGTGCGTGTAGTGTGAGTTTATGCTTCTGTAGATGTTTGTATATGTATTTATGTTTATGTATGCGTATGCTTGCGTGCATGTATGTAACTGTGTGCGTGTATGTGTGTATGCATTTAGAGTGATGCAACGCTAAGTGGCAAGACGAGCGTGTGATACGGGCCCAGGATGTCTGTTTATGTCGGTGATGTGAACGAATGGGAGTGGTGTGTGTGTGTGTGTGTGTGTATGTGTGTGATGGGGGTTTGTGAAAACGTGTGTGTGGGGCCGAGGGGGAATCGAGACGCGATGTTGAAAAAATTGGCTAAAAAGTGGGAACTGAAACTGATTTATACCGAGTTAAAGCTCGCTTATATAACAAACAGAAGCCACGCCTCCCTGGTCACAGATGCTGATCCGTTGGGCGAACAAGTAAGGCCCAGACAAAGCCGAGTGTCGCAGATAAGGAGGTCTGGCGCTGTCACTGCTTCTCCGGACACCTTTGTCCAAATACGATCTCGCAAATATAAATTCAACTCTCCCGTACACTCAGCTATTACATACAATCTCGTGGAAATTTTGGCGGGGAAATTATTGTCACGGGAAACATAAAAGCTAGAAGGCTGAAAATTTCAGGAGGGTTTTTTCTGCATAGGGGCCTCACAAACTCAAATTCACTTTCTAATTGTACCGGACCTTACGTTCAATCGCATAAATTTTTGGCGTGAAAATCACTCAAGAACCCCGTTCGTCCACTTAGGCACACATTCCAATTCCCTCCACGGAGCGCCGGTTGCCCAATTACACTTTAAATACTTCCATTTACAGTCGGGGGGGAGGGGGTTTACCATGCGCGACCCTCCCTTTTTAATTTCATCCCCGCGGACACCTGAGTGCCGCGTGTGAACGCTTTAAAAAAATATGCGAGTTCTTTGGCGGGAAAGCAACCTCGGGAATCACATGAGCTAGGGGGCTGAAACTTGTGGGCATATTCCCTGTGCAAGTACTGGCTAAAGATATCAAATTGAGCCCCCAAGTATGCGTGGTACTCACGTAAGGGCGTGTGAAAGTTTCTGCAGGAAAATTGCTAGCTCGGCAACCAGAAGAGCTGGAAGGCTGAAATTTTAAAGGGATGTCAGCTTTCCAGGCACGTGGAGCACCCATGTCAGGGTTTTGGCGGGAGAATTGCCAACTCAGTAACCAGAAAAGTTGGAAAGCTAAAATACTGGGGGAATGTTCCCTGTCCGAGTACAAATTAAATATTTCAAATTCAGCCTTGAAGTGTATGTGGCTCTTATGTACGGGCAGTTAAAAGTCTTGGCGGAAAAATTCTCACTGAATAGCTTGGTTGATTTCAAAGAATGACTGTTAAATGGAAATTGTATACTTACTTTGCAAAATTTATGGTGATTTATGCTAGTGACTACAAAAGACAGTTGTAATGCAGCAACTATTCATGCAGTTAATGACCTGAGTATTTCAAGTTTGATGCAGAACCGCATGATCGCACGGGCCCACCCATTGCTTTTCAACTTGAATATCCTTTTATTCACTAATTCGGGCTTGTTTTAATTTACTTTTCTTGGTAGTACCGTGTTGGTTTATTCACCTCTTTACTGCTATTTGCAGTCCTTGCTTCGAACTCCTGATTAGCACTCTTTTTTCCCTCCTGTGTGCTATCCTAATCCCTGCCTCCAAGGCTGCTTCGGAGCACTCATCACCTCAAACCACTGTCACCA